CAAGCTTGACAATTTATGATGAACACGTGGCTGCCAGGGGATCATGAAACAAGAGTAACATTCCAGATCTGAAAAGCCATTTTTATTCACAAACACTTAGTTTACAGTATGATCATAAATCACATTCCCCATATCAGTAATCCCCAGGATTAAATCAGAAAGTCTACACACATCATGTCTCTTTCTGTCCTCAGCACACTGCACTGCCCCCTCCAGTCATTTACATGTCATAGGAAGACCTCTTATAAGAATAAATTCTTTACACACACCCATCCAAAGCCAAGTAATGAATAATAGAAAACAAGGTTCTTCAAAACACTACAATAGCTACAACAACTCTTCACAAACACAATACATAATCATTTTTTAAAGCATGTTCTGTTACCCCCTCCCCCTTTCCCACCAAAGAAATTAAATTGAACAACAACCTGAGCAGATTGCTTCTTTGGGTGATTTACAATTATTGTATTTATTAAAAGTTATCACATAAAATTAAATGTAAGTTGCCCATATCATTTCTTGGCAGTATACCTGCTGATAAATCTTTTATCACCACCAATCAGAACAAAGGTATACACACCATTGTGTGTCTCCATTAAGTAACATTATAATTCCTGGGCTTCTCTGTATGGCCTCAGGTCAAACAGCTTGGGGTTCACAGTTCTTAAATTCTACCCCCCCATTCTCCCATTCTCCCATTATTTCTTACATGTTGCAAATTACATTTTCTTAGTTTAGCATGGCCAGGAAAAAGTGTGAAATCCATATACTCCAGGTGGTCTTGTGCTGGATTGTGTCCAGGACAATGTCCAGTTGGCAAGGTTGGAAGCTCTTAATGTTCCATGTAATGACTATCACAATACCATTGCTGACTAGACTTTGGTTGACTGATGAGTTGGAGAACTCCATAAACCCCAGAAGAAATGCATGCTTAGCTGAACTCTGGACACTGGACGAATCCCTGGGCAATGTGGTTGAAGGTCTGCTTCACTAAGCAAGGATACTGGATAGGGCTTTATTGCACATCCTGAACCCTCTGATGACTTCTGTAGAAACAATTTAATTGTATTTGCCAATTTTGCCCACATGTATAGCATAATTTGTTACGTACAGCCTTTGAGGCTGAATTTGAGGACCAGGATGTGTGTATTGGGATTGAATGACAATTCCTTTTGTGGTAGAGGGAGAGGGACAGAAGACATTTACTTTGTGATATTTATTAATATTTTTTTTAACAAGGCTTATTAGACCAAAGCTTGTTTGGCAAAAGGGCTGCAGGTTCAACTTTTTCTTTAACCCACTCACATACTGTATCTCTGCAGGGCATTTACTTTAAAACTGCTATTTTAGAAAGGTCTGGAGTATATCATCAAAAGTAAAAGCATCCTGTCCCTTCAGCCATCTGTGACATGACAGGGTCATTCTGCGGGCAAACATTTTGAATTATCTTAGTAAATAAATCTTATCTACTATGATCGTCAGGTCTATCTACTGGCCATAATGGGTATTTTCCTGATTCACTTTATACTTTATGAAAAACATTCCACCTGGAGAGAAAATAACCTAATAACATTTATTTTAGCCCCCACGTACACAAAACAAATGTACATGCAGTTTCATGGTACAAATAGCTCCAATTTTTTTTTTTCATAAATACACCCCCTAGTTTTGTCATGTGGTATGACATTATTATAGCTGGTTTTAGTAATCCAAATGGAAATATCAATTAAAGTTTTACTGTGGAAGATTAGAATGTATCCCCATGTCTGTAATAACCCAATAAGTCTAGGACCAAAGTCAGATCTTAAACAATATAGGCCCTTGCAGAAAAACGTGTTCTCATGTGTCAACATGCAATATTTAAATTATGATAATACCAGTTTACTTAGTCCATACAGGACAGGAGACTGTTTTTAATATTATTATTACACAGGATTTATATAGCGCCAGCAGTTTGTGCAGCACCTTACAATATAAAAGGTTACAGTACAATTACAATACAGTGCAACACAGAAGGAATAGGAGAGCTCTGCCCACGAAGCTTGCAGTCTATAGGGAGGGGAAGGTGGTGCAAAAGGTAATAGCTGTTGAGGACGATCTGATGGAGGTGGCTGAAGTACAGTTTTTCGGTGGAGGTTGGGAAATCTTGCCTGAACAAATGAGTTTTTGGGGATCACCTAAAGATGGACATTGAATGAGATAACCAGACATACTGGAATAGATAACTCCAGAGGATAGGTGATATTCTGGAGAAGTCCTGAGGGCAAGCATGGGAAGAGGTAACAAGGGAGCAAGAGGTCTTGAAAGGAGTGGATGATTTGGGTGATATGTCAGGATGAGGTTGGTGATGTAGCAGGGGGCAGTGTTGTGGATGGCTTCATATGTTGTTGTTAATATTTTGAAATGTATATGTTGGGCTAGTGGAAGCCAGTGAAGGGATTGGCAAAGAGAAGCAGCAGCCACAGATTGGTTAGTAAGGTATATTAGTCTAGCAGCAGCATTCATGATAGACTGAAGGGGGAATAGCCTGTGTAAAGTTAGGCCAGTGAGAAGAGAGTTTCTGTAGTCAAGGCAGGAGATAACCAGAGATTGAATACGTTTGTTTCTGGTGATTAATTTGGCCATGGCAAACTCTGAAAATGTTACGGAGGTTAAGGCAGCAAGATTTAACCAGTGACTGGGCATAGGGCACAAAGGAGAGGTCAGAGCCTAGGATTACACCAAGCACCCTAGCATGCATGGAGGGATCAATGTTTGTACCATTGGTCACAATAGTAAAATCACGAGGGAGGGATTGAGGAACAGGAAATATTACAAGCTCAGTTTTAGACAGGTTGAGTTTGAAGAAGTGGTGTGACATCCATACTGATATGTCAGCCTTGAAGTACCCCAACAGAAAGAATCAGAGGAGCGCAGGAGTTGCAGGTGACACTGAAGGTGCTATGAGATAGGTAAGAAGAGAACCAAGAAAGAGCAGAGTCCAAGGTTGTAGAGTTTATCGAGGTGGGGTGTGGGATCAACTGAATCATAGGCAGCAGAAAGGTCTAAGAATATGAGTATGACTGTTTCTTGATTCTTTCCCATGCTTAGCTATTGAGGAGTGTTTGGTAAAAATGATCGGCAGTTTTCAGATGGAGCTTGTGAAAATGTTCCTGTCATAAATGTCCATATTACCTTTGCTTCTAGGGGGTAATACTTTTAAACAGGAGTCATTCATTTGCGGAACACGGAATAACAGATCCATTGAAGGTTCCTTAGTAATGAATTCAACTATCTTTTGAATGGGGTCTGATTCATGCATTATAAAAGATTAGCTCTGTTTTTAAAATAAATATATTGATAAATTCTGCTGAATATTTCAGATCATAAGTGTTTTAATTTTATAAATTACATTAGTTTATATTTAGCCTCAAGGCATATCAGAATAAAAATCTTGTCTACCACCACTCAGACTTTTCATGCAATTTGTTCTATTTTTATTTGCTTTACCCTCCGAAGCATAGTTCATTTGTTGACCTGAAACACAGGGTCTGACTTTTCCCTAATCTGTATAAATTCTACATGGTTTTTGCCTTTGCTCTAGACAAAAGATGTCAGATACATTCATCATCATTCTCTGTCTTCACTGTAGTACACTTATGTCTTGACTATGCTCCCAAGCACCACAGGAAATATTGTGTTAGTGTACTGTACTTAAGCTTCTCAGTATGAATTAATTGTAATTGTGAAAAATATGAAATTTGGCTTATAACAATGCTGTAAATTATATTATACTGCCAGTATAGGTCTTGTAAGAGATACTGCATATCTACACTGTCAGTCTTAGGCAAAACAGAACTAAGCTGTTAATAAGTCAGGAGATACACATGGTAAACTGCCTTATTTGACTGACTTACTTAGATTAGGGAAATGTGTTTAAACACATTCATGTCATAATATCATGAATCTCATGACTGTCATCATGTCATGTCATATTTGTAAAGCATTCACCTTTGATACATCCACATATTACGATACCACAGGTCTCTTGTATTTTACAGGGACAGCATGCAAGTAATGAAGATACACATGCACATTTAGTAATAATTTTTTTTTTATAATTTATTGGTAAATACTTAGCTGGTGTACATGGGTGCTTCAAGTGTGCTTGCTGATAGTGAAAGTAACAGGTTCACTTTAATGCCCCCTTCACCAGCTGCATATACTCAACTCCTTTTACTACCCTACTGTTCCAGCCACCAGAAGTGAGGAAAGGAACTCTGGTGCTTACACAGCGCTGATGACTCTCTTACTGCCCCCAAGTTACAGTGTTACGCCAAACACCAACACTGTCACATGAGAAAAGTGGGAGTGAACAACATGCACCTCAATGGCCAGGAGTAAAGCATTTCTTCACTCCTGGCACCCAAAAGGTCTGGGGGGAGGTGGGTAAAGAGTGTGTTTCTGGGGTGGATGGCATTTACATTACATGGTTAAAACAAATTTTAGCTGGCAACGTTGGCTTGCTAGCCTTAAAAGGCATAACCTTTTGTGGCAGACTTCTTTTGAAATCATAATGGACTGTTAAATGTTATAGTGGTAGGTACAAAATTCATTCAGTAATTTATATAGGATATATAGAGTATAATAGTTTACAACTCTAGATTTAGAGAATACTTGTAGATGTGGCAGGTATGATTTCAGTGTCTGTGTTCACGTTAATGCATGTTACACTGATCTGCACAATGTTATACGTCTTATGTGGCAATATCACACTGCTTTTCAACGTAACAATTCACAGCTGATTTGTCTCGACCTATGTCTGTCTGATGTTTGCTCACATATAATATTTAGTTTAACAAATTCCCTGTCAACCAAACTGTTAACACATTGTGCTTTTTATGTAAGAATGTTGCAGTATTAGTACACATGACGCTGTATGTTTGCCAATTAACCATTCACTTGCTTTATGTGTTGTAACATGCACCTCCTTTCTTGTTTCTGTTTAAGCATTGTACGCCATGGAAATTAATGTGGAGAAAGACAGAAAGACAGGAGAGACCAAGATTCTCTCTACAACTGCCATTGACTCAGAGGGGTTCCACCAGAGAGGAGTAAAAGTCTATGATGATGGTAACAAAGTAGTTTATGAGCTCCACCATTCAGGTGCTGTGGTAGAAAATGGTGTCCATAAGTTAAGTACGAGGGATGTAGATGATCTTATACAGAAATCCGCACAATTAACAGGGCAAGACATTTTACCCAAAAGAACTCTTACCAATGAAGGAATGTCTAGCCAAATGAAGGAGCAATTGCATTTTAAGGAAGCTAAACTAGAAATGGTGCATAAACCAAGCAAAGGGTTTCCTTTAAAGCCTGGACAACAACATATAAGTGGTGGAAGTGATGTGAATGCAGCTACGCTAGAGCAACCAGTGACAATGATCTTCATGGGCTATCAGAATATAGATGATGAGGATGAAACTAAAAAAGTGTTGGGCTATGATGACACCATGAAAGCTGAGCTTATTCTCATTGATGAAGATGATGAGAAGTCATTGCGGGAGAAGACAGTAACTGATGTGTCCACTATGGATGGAAATGCTGCAGAACTGGTCTCTGGGAAGCTTCTCACTGAGACCACAGAACCCTCCTCTCCTGAAGGCAAAGAGGAGAGTCTAGCCACAGAACCCATTACAGGTACAGAAAAGAAAGCTCGCTGTAAATGCTGTGTTGTAATGTGATTGCCCCTCTCCTTTAAGCCCAAACAGCACAGACACTGCCAACTTTGTATCGCACAGAATGATATGAGCTGTACAATACTGTGACCTAGAAGTGGATATCTACATTGCCTTGAAATTGGTTTAGTTTTTTTTTTATACATTTATTATTTTAACTATGTATATGTGTGCTATCTACTTCATTGTTTAGGATCACAAAGTTGTAAATCTGTGACTCTAAGCAACAGATGTCAGGACTAACACACCACAAAGCCACCCATGTCATAAAATTATATAAATATATATTTAACATGGAGGTAACAATGGGCTAGATCTGAAACAATAAATTCTGCTGTATTAAATATGGCACATTATTGGCCATGTTAAATCATAGATGCAGTGCAAATAATGATCTCATACATTTTAACACTCATAATAAACACAGCAGAGCATAGAAAGCACCAACAGAGGGTTATCAGATTGTAATAATTACATATAAGCTTTTACAGGTAAAGGTAATGCTGAAATGATAACAGGGTATATAAATCTGAGTTTAGGTTTGGAACAGGAGTCCACATAACAATTTTGAGCAGTTGTCTATGAGCTCCAACCTTAGACTTTAGCTTTTATTGAAGAGCTATCAGAAAACGGTATTCTGATTTTGATTGGTTGGAAGTGAAGCAAGTCACACCCAGGTCAGGGCAAAAAAAAGGTCCTACTAGTGCCCATTGTAAACCTTTGTGTTGAATCCCCAACATTGATCCTTATCTGCTCCAATATTGATCTCCAATAATTTCATCAATCTGTATATGGCCTTGTTGTATGGCATTCTTTCTTTCCTGCACAAGTTCTCTTGAAGTTTGGTAGCAGCGACAAATGTCAGACTCTTAAATCTGGCCAGTAAGCCAACTGAGTTACTAAGAATCAAACCTGAGTTGGGCAACTTACTGAAATTTTTTAAAAAATATTGGACAGTATTTCAGTTTGAGGACCTTTTCCTGAAATTTTTGTAAAATGTTTAGAAGGGTTTGGAGTAGCTGCTTGCCTTTAAATATTGCCCTTTTTATTGTATTGTTTTCAATATCTCTGAAATAAAATGCCATGGCATACAAATGTGACTGTACAGCTCCATGCACACTGGGAGTTTTAATGATGCTGATAGGGAGCTGTGTAAAGTCACATTAAAAAAGTTTTTCAGAGGTTTTTTAGCAGTTTTGCATTAGTGTTAACGGCACTTTGCCGCGTTTGCGGTTTTTAGCATTTTTTTCGTTTTATTTTTTTAGCAGAAACAAAAATGTTTTTATTCTCCAAAAATGCCGGTTTGCCGCACTTTAACGCTTTTTTAAGCGTTAGAGCGTTTTTACAGCTAAAAAATAACCCTGCCAAAAAACGCTGATTACAGTCTGTGTGCATGGACACATAGGATAACATGCTGGAGAGTTTACTGGCTGTAGAAAAAAATATCAAAAGCCAAAAACAGCAGCTGTAAAAATGTCCAGTGTGCATGAGGACTACAACTGGGCTTGCTGGACCTGCTTAAACCATAGGCTTATAAGCTTTGACTGCATTTTCAGTCTTACTACATGCACTGTAGAAGGAAACAGATTTTCTGATCAAGCACTGTTTGGAAAATACAGAGATCTATCTACATTTATTATTTTACCACCTTTAATACCATACTTGAAAATAACATATTTATAATGGTTACTGGCAGGTGAGGAAATAGTTTATGGCAAAATATATTTTTTCACGAACATTTCTTTAAAAAAAAATCTAGCCAATTTTTCCACACTGTACATGTGGATTTTACTCGATTGCCTTATGTTCTGAGATAATGATATATTTATATGTATGAATGGGCAGTCATTTAGGACATACATGCAAGAGAGTGGTTAAAATTAGCTGGTTGTACAGCACAGACTAATACATTACAGAAACCATGCCAACAGGAAAACACTGGATTTTAAGTAGTAGACACAAGCAGTATAATCTAAGAATTTAAAATGTGAGTATTTCACAAATAAGTTGCAATAGAGTAATAGTCAGAGAAGTACCTTGCTTAATTTTGGGAAACGCCACAAATTTGCTCCATGCAAGCATATTTGCGAGAGTATTATGGTTGTACAAAAGTGCAAAGTACCTAATTAAGGTCATCTAACACTTTACATCACACCCATAGCAAAATTACTTGTGCTTTGATAGACTGGCAATCTAACATTTTTATGTAGCCAAGGTATAATGTATGACTAACAGTACTTATGTATGAAGTTTGATGCAGCTTTTATGACTGTGAAAAAATGTGAGTGTTTTTATTGTCATTTTTTAATATATTTTTGAACATAGTTAAATGAGTTTTAAAATACACAGATATTTTATGAGTTTAGTAATGCATGTATGTAATTCTTGTTTTTCAAACACTAAGCCTTGGGGCAGTTAGTCCATATGCATAGTTGTTTCAGGGCACTTTGAATGTGTTAAGTTACTGTGCGTCTGCAGTACACAGTAGGGTGATACAACTGGGTTAATTCTTTAATCGGCACAAAGAGCGGTATACTTTTTCGGTAGTATGCAATGGAAACAAGTCAGTCTTCAGGGTAACCAAAGTCATGCTAATGCAAGATAAACCTAACTGGTTGCTATGGATCACTGCACTTTGCACATTGCTCTTTGCCTTATGAACTAAGCCTTATAATGAATGGTACTTTGGCAGTGCTGTTTCGTACAGTGTCTGCATGGTTGTGTACCTCTACAGGAAGAAAGAAAAAAATTGGAGATTGTTTGGAATTACACCAAGGCCTTCTGAGAGCCTTCTAATATTTTTATAGTACAAGCTCTCATGGCACTTACCTAGTTGTAGTATGTTTGACAAGTTCTGTGCTATTAGGAACATGGGAAAAACATTACTACTGTACAGACAAAATCATCTGAGTGATGAGTCACGTTGATATTTAATGTCAGTGCACCAGGTATGACAAGGTATGACCTACCTTAAGGAACTTGTATTATCCATTCAAATTTAGTACAATGGTATGCTCATTAATATGTTCCAGCCCTTGTTTTCCAGATGTATTTAAAGCAACCTTGAAAAGGTGGAAAAAGCAGTTTCCTGTTCTTTCCTTGCTGTTTTACCTATCACCGTTTGATCAAACACATCTAAGACCTGTCTCATTTGCACAGAAAACAGATTTTCAAATCTTATCCTCAGTATAAATATTAATGAATTATTGAACATGCTTTTAATATCCCTACTGTCTGCATATATCACATCAGTTATGCCAAATGATCTTGCTTGCTGCTTTTTCTTCCTTTGTCTTACACAATTAAAAAAAAATTGGAAACTCAAATGTTAATTATTATCATAAGACGCAGCTTAAGATAATTTATAATTATATTTTTTTCTTCAATATATTTTTGATATTTTTTCATGAATGTATGTGGCTAAAAAAGGGGTTGTATTTAAGATGCTTAATGGTCAATGACATGCTAAATGATATTCTTGGATGTTTAATCACACCATCCTTAAAGCCCAACTCTAGGCAAACTTTTTTCAGCCCCTCTGCATAGGTTAACTGCTCATTTTGTCTAGGGGTGAACACAGAGCCAATACTCACCTGATTCTTCGATCCTCCAGAAAACGGTGCTCCCCCTCATCCAGTGGTGGACTGTTCCTGCCATCCTCACATTCGGAGTTGGTCTATGGTGATAATATCAGGAACAGTCCGTTGCACAAGACCGCTAAACTGCCAAGGGGGGGGGGGCAGGAACCGCATGGACCTGTCTTGCGCCCCAAGGGAAAAAAAATTGCCTTGAGTTCTTCTTTAGCAATTAAAAATATGTAAAAGTTAGCACAGTGGTAGATACTTTCAAACATGAGCTTAAAAGTACATGTACCATAGAATTCTGAACTGCAGATATAAGCGTATTTAAATTTGAGCCCAATTCATGCAGACTAAATTATTTAAATATTCTGAACAAGAAGTGAAAGCACTTTAAAACATGCCTTCATTTAGCTCTGAATCTTTAAGCCCTGTGAGGAAATTGATTTACAAAGTTCACAACAGAGGCATAGTGTTTTTCTATGAGAACAGAATGTTGCCAGCCTACCAGCCCTCTAATGTAAACAGACGGTAGGTGTTTCTAAGCTGTTAGAAACCACCTAAACTCGACTCTAGAGGCTTTGTTGTGATCTTTCAGAAGGCATAACTTCACATTAAAAGAGGTCATGGATGGCTTGTATTATAGCTCTTTTACAGGTTGTTAAATTGAATCTAACCCCACTGATTTAACTTTTACATTCAAGACATGCCATAAATGATAACTGTCACATTTGATTGTGATCTCAAGCAAACTGTCAAGCCATCAAATGGATGGTGTCATAACTGATCACATGTGTAGCACCATGGCAACTGGATATGAATCTTAGATGGCAGCTTCCTTGGCATGTAGAGGACAGAAGGGTTTACTTCCACTTTAAGAATGTGTAAATAGTTTAATGTCAATAGTTTAGGCATAAGTGCACTATAAGACTGAAGTCCACCAAAAACAATTAAAGTGTCATAGCATATGACCATTAATTAACATGGGGATCAGCAAATAAAGTAGTAAAGGCTAACCTAATTGTGTATTCTCCATTCACCCAAGTGGAAAATAAGGTTGTTACAATAAAGGGGATAATATGCCATTTGCTGAAGATTTGTTGGTAATGGTTCCTAGCAGGGGTGGATTGACCATTTGGAAACTTGGGCACTGCCCGAGGGCCTGGGGTCAATAGGAGGCCCCATGAGATGCCCCTGGTAGCTTTTTCATAGGCTTTTTTGAGATTGGGCAAGGACGCAGGGGCCCCATGATCCCCTATTGCCCGGGGGCCCCATGAGTTGTCAGTCCGCCCCTGGTTCCTAGTAGAAATGGGCTCATATTGCATTATTGCCCAAGGCCATTTACATCTTAACGTATATAGCTTAAAGTTCCTTGGATAAGATGGCAGCATTTGCTTTCTTTTATAAGTATCAGCATATTTTGTTGTA